GTCTGCACGAACCGTCCGTATTCTGAAGCGGGCAGGACGGTGTCAAAATGTTGCCGTTTCTTTTGCTTGAGAATACTGTGTCCTGGCTGGTCTGTGACACCAAGTCTGGGAATGTAACTCAAATGTAGAGAAGTGCCTTGCTCGTATCTCCCAGCCACCCGTACCATGCACGCCGCGAGGGGAATGCCTTTCTTCTCCATCCCGACACTGCCCATGGCAGCCTCAGCAAGGAGGCACGCAGACCTAAAGGGACAAATGTCCTCTCTCACACTAGCAGCTGCTGCTTCTTTTTATTTGCCTTCCTAACTTTTTCCCCCCCCTTTTCGTACTTGCAGTAATTGTTCAGTTACATTTCCATGATTTAACACTGCTAGCGTTGCCACCGAAGATTTCAAAGAACAGCCCAGCTTGAAAATATGGTACCTCTATACACTCACCTGGAAAGAAGCAACCTCAATTACTGTAAAAGTTGCCTGCTAATTGCCTCTTCTGATTGTGGTGGGTCCTTTGATTTCCTAAAGGGTTATTTGACTGCCCATTTGTCATGTATAATGAGCTTTGTGGCACTCTGGTTTTTACATCTCAGGTAAACTGAGGCAGTGCCTCTATACCTGAAGTACTGTAAAAAATCTTTAGAGGACCATATAAGTAGCTTTTCTGAACAAATCTCACCTAAAAAAGTCACGGGCTGCATGAGTCTTAAGCATTGAACTCTTTTTCTGTGCTAATAAACCCACCAAAATTCCTTGGTGAAGCAGTGTGTGTGAGAGTTTTTCCCTGCTGCTGTCTGTGTGATCCTCTGTTTAAAGAACTTAATGCATGTAACATATGTGTGCATATGTGTGTGCAGCTAGGAGTGGGTTAAACAGCTATTCAGAAGCCTCACAGGCTAAAAAACTCTGCATTTCCTGGTATTTTTCAAAATCTACTCTGAGAAGAGCATACATTTCTAACTTTGTTCCCCCTTTCCTTGGGAGCAGAACAGTAGTTTAGGAGAATTCCCGAGGCTTCAGGGTTTAAAATACTCATCAGGCTCCCGGTCGCTTGGGAACTATGCTAAGTATTCCTGCTACTATAAGTATTTGGGGTTGTTGGTTTTTTTCCACTCAGCAGTATGTAGTATCACAACATTTTAGTATTATGGGCACTAAAAATTTAAACCTTGACAGAAAAACACAGAACTTCATACCTTAGCCCCTCTTCTCTTTTTGACCTTCAGGCAGATTTCACACATTCCGAACGTTTGCCCGTTTTCTGACTTATCTTCCAGCATTGAAAATAGACAAGGAGGAACAAGTAATTCAGCACTGTACCAGGTCATTAGGGAGCACATTTTGGAGGCTGCTCCACACATGGGGTGCTGTCGCTTAAAATTAGAAATAGTTCCCAGGAGGCATCAGAGATTTTTCAGTCTTTGGGCTGAGAACTCATAAAGAGGAGGTGGGGGGGAAATCAATTTTGCTGCTGTCTATAAGCATCTCCATAGACAATACTCAACTCTTCCCTGAAACAAAGGAATATTGATGCCACACAGTACATAATGAGCAGAGAGATGCACACCCCTAAGTCTCTCTAGTGCATCTTCAAAGGGAGGTCAGGGGATTTTAACATAAGAATGAAGGGGTTTACGCTTACGTTTCCGTCTTTCTTTATTTTTTATGTCATTGTGGACGTGCCTTGGGAACGGTTGAGAATTTCCATATGGAACTCCTCTCCCTTAGAAGCAGAAAAGCTGAGGGATGCTTTGGTCAGGGCACAGGGGTGCTCAGGAAGTGAAGCAGCCTGGCAAGGGTGACCGCTGCAGAGTCCAGGGTCTCCAGATGCATTCAGGTGTCTGCTGAAGAAGGGAGAGAATAGTGGGATGGGAGAAAAACTGTCTCCAGTTTATAATCAGATGAAGCTATCCAAGAGGACTGGGGTTAATTCTTGCTTCTTACTCCAATTTCCTCTGTCACGATGGGTCAAATCACTTAAGCTACACCAGTGTGCCCTCAGTGGTTTCTCCTGACTTCTGGATATCTGACTTCTAGATGTCGTGCAACTGGTGGAAGTGATAAACTCTCCCAATCCAGCATAAACCAGACAGAGCTCTGCTTTGAATACACATTATATAGTGCTAAGTACATTGGAAAGAAAAAACAGATTAGCAATATCACCAAACAGCTTCCAAAACTAATGAACAGTTTTTATCTTAATCTCTCACTGCCTTAGTTCCTCAGCTGTAAAGTAGATCTAATACCATCTCCTCACCTCTGGGTGGTAATGAAAATAAGTAGATTTATATTTGTGAAGCAATCTGATACTGTTGTGCTGAAAGCCATAGGAAAACCCATGAGGAAACTAATAATTCTGTCTTTAGAACTGGACTTGAATAATGTACAGTAAATGAGGCACAGGCCACCCACTGAACAATGAGGAGAAAACAAAACATTGAATAGCTGCTGTTCAAGAAAGCCCCAGTCAGGCTGGCACAGAACAAGGCAAGCATCCTGTGCAAAGAATGAGGTGACAATGTGAGGATGTGGTTAGAGACTCGTAGCTAAGAGGCACAGGCACAAAGAGATTGAATTAAGATTACTGAGAACAGTAACCCTGCACTCCCTAACGCCCTACTGCTGGGCTTTGCCAATTTAATACTAGTTAGTTTCAAAGGTTGTGTGTATATTTGTGCACATATATGTGTATGTACATACACTGAGTACAAAAAATAATCCACTCACAAGCTATAGTGAGACTTCACCCTGAACGTGAAGTTAAATACTTGAGGCAAGGATACAGCAATGAGGCTGGAGTGTGAAAAGAACCCTACAGATTTTTGGAAAGAAGGAAGAAATGAGATTTGACAAGGTAGTAATAAGTGGAAAATAGATAGTCACTGAAAACTTCCCCTTTCTGAGGCTTGAAAGCATTAGCAACTTGGGTGCTGAAGAGAGTTAACTGGTCAAAACTGCCAAAAAACTGAGGCAAGGCTCTCCCCGGGGGGAAAGCTTGACTGTAAGAGAGCAATGGAGAACTGACAGACAGGGTCTCTCACTGGGGTAAGAGGAAGGAAGGAAGAAAGGATGGGAAAAGTCTGAATGAGAGCTCTCTCCTTCTCCCACTACCTCTCCGGTCTGTTTTATTTCAACACTATAACAAATTGTGTCTCACGCAGTCTCTGAACCAGCCTAAATTCACATGGGCAGGTTTCACTGCTGCCACGTTGCACCCAGTGTGATGCCTGCCATCACTGCACATCTCCTTGTACCCACTGACTAAGCAGTGCTTCAGATCAGCTCCTCTCAGCAGAGCTCAGGAACAGTTTTACTACAGCAGCTCCCCAAATTTCTCTGCATGTTTCTGTTTTCCAGAGCTCCCTATGCCCTGTTTGGCTGTCCCCTCGCCCGTATTTAGCCTGGTTTAGCCTGCCCAATTTAGCATGATCTGCAAATTCGTATAGGTTTGCTTCTCTCTGCAAACACAAAGACACTGGAAAGAGCACCAAGTTTGCAGCATTTACATCAGAGAGAGAATTTATGAGGTATTTTTCTAGCAAAAAGCACATTTAGCTTATCCCAAGTCCAGTTTTGTCATATGTGTTGGGGTCTCTAAGGCCCCACAAGAGACCCTTGTTTGTCTCTAAGGCAAAGGGAGAGAATCCCAAGAGAGTCAGAAGGTGCTCTCTGCATGCTCAGTGTAAGCCTGGATACCACTATCATGTAACTATTTGATGCAGGCTTTTCAAAGATAGTGGGATAGATTCATTCCCCAGCTTGATTCAACTGAGTTCAAGGTCTTTTCTGTTTTTGGTCTCCCATGATTACATCAGGCAGAGCTTGGCCCTAATATTTGGATATATGAAAACACAGTGGGGGAACAGCATTAGATGTCCTGGATAGACAACTAATAAAAATTCAACTGACTGGGAGTCTGCAGCTTCCACCACCACTTGAGATGAAAATATTCTACATATTATTATCACCCGTGTGTGTAACACATCCCTGATGTACACACGTGAAGGTGATGAGTGACTTCCCCGTGCCTGTGTCCCTGTGTGCGTCAGGGTTGTGTGTGGGAGGTGACAGGTCACTCAGCTCCCTTATCTTCTCACCCACTCTCTTTTTTGTGAACTCCGAGATTTTCCACATTTGGAGAGGAGGGGGAAAGCACACCCTGTCAGGGAATAACAAGCTGTCTGCAGCTACAAGTAGGGCCAGTGGTCTGGATACCAGTGTGACCCTCCCAGAAACTGCAGTGAACTCGGGAGGAGCAGAAAGATAAGCGATGTTGGATGTCTGTCCTCTAGGACAGGAGCTGTTAACACGGAGCTGTTCCTCTCTGGTGAGATTCGAGCACTGGGGTCAAAATCACTCTCCCTGATACTGGTTAAGCACAGGACTTTGAACCCAAGGAACTAGAAAGGAACCTACCCAGACATGTCTTTTTTTTCTTTTTCTTTTAAAAGCATAAATAAGTACAGAACTATTTAGTCCAGATTCATGTGCAGATCAAATTTGGCTAAAGAACTGGCCTGTTTCAGGCAGACACTTATGATAAGAACATGCATGAATATATGAAGCCAGAGGGATGGTACTTGGACAAAAATGCCTAATAGGTCATTGTTTGTCTATTGTACACCCATATGAAAAAGCCTAACAGTGAACAAAAAGATACCTGCTGAGGTGGGCTTTAGCATCAATCTGTGTCACAAAACTATGAAAAGCCTCTGGAATTCAAAGCATCACACCCACACTGGACATTGCATTTCTAACTTTATTCATCTTTTAATGCTGTAAGCCACATGTCCCCAAAATGCTTCCTGACCAAGTCCTGGCAACAAAGGAACTCTGTGTACATACATTGTAAAGGCTGCTACTTCCTTTTTGGGCACTGACCATGGCTGTGGGCTCTGCCAGAAATAACAAAATGTTTGCCTATTCAAAAAGTACCAAAACCAACCCCCACAAAAACAACAAATCAAAACAAAAAGCCCCCTGGTTCTGCCAGGTGTACCTGCTATAGACAGGCAGCACGAGAGGGTTTTCTTTCAGGTAACCAAGCCAGTGCTGTCCTGGGGCACAGCAGAGAAGGGATGTGGTCTGTAGAAGCGGATGTGGTCTGTAGAAGCAGATGTAAAAAGCAGATGTAAAAGAAACGTTGTGTTGCTGTCACGAGGTTTAAGAGGCAGTGCTGCATAGAAAAAAGGGCACAAGTTTGCAAGTGACAACTCCTGATCTCTGTCCCCAGACTGTCTCTAACACAGTGACCTCGAAAAAGCAGTTCGTCCTTTCTGTTGCAGTGACCACCATCTGCAAGATAGAGAGGACAGCATCTGCACTGCATGGGATGCTGTGAGGCTGGACTACTGCTGACAGAGGGCTGGAGATTCTTAAGTGAAGTATCATTAACCAACCTCCATTTCAGAGCTGAAAGTGTCCTTCCTAACCGTCTACAGGTGTGAAAGGACAGTTTTGTAGTGGGGGCTCTGCTCATGTATGGCTCCAGCCTGACAGGTGAAGCCTGTCACACAGGGGAAAAGATCTCTGCCCACATACCCCCAGGGTGGACATCCATTGTGCCATGTGCTGGCCTGGACCTCCCGTGAGATAACACAGTTGGAGGAGGGAAAGCCACAAGCAGTTTCTAGGCACTGACCATCCCATAGCTGGCCTGGCTGCTCCACTGCAAAGGGCTGTCACTGCTCACGTGCCCACCACCCAAAGGGGATGGCTGCCTCCCCATTTGGCAGCTTGGAGGGGATGCACTTGTTGCAGGGTCTCCACACACAGCTGCGTGTCCCGAGTGTGAGCCTCTTAAAACATCCAGGGCCCCAGCCCTCCAGCGTGTTGGGAAATCTCAGTAGCTATCAGAGACATGCATTTGTATCCTATCGAGCAAATCACGCACAGAGACTGGGCAGAATTAAAATGGCTTTGAATTCGATACTTTCCCCCTCCCTGGGAACTGTGCTTGCCTCACACAAAGGAGCCTTCCTCGGAGAGCCTCTCCACGTGCCCCTGGGACCTGCCAAGGGGAAGAGGTGAGCCCAGCGAGGGAGAGCAGAAACAGTGTTATAATCAGACTCTCCACTTTATTTTAGAAACATCCTGCAGAGATGGCGACCTCCTGTCACCTTCCTTGTGGGAAAAGCTAGCGTGAAGTGTCGAGCTCAGCTATTTATATCACCGCTGATAGTCTCGCCTGTCTGCTAAAGAGGGAGAAACTTTCTCCCTAACAACCCCTAGGGAAATAAACTCATATAAAAATGATTGCACAGGAACAGCCCTCCTGGCTCTCTGGTGTGAATTTCCTAGCTGTTCATCAAGACCTGGCTAGTTCCAACCAGAGTAAGTGTGCTGGCTGGGGCAAGCAGTAGCGATGTGAAGTGCTTGCCTGTCCTTCAGAGCATGTGGCATCACACCAAGAGGATGGGAAAAACTGCTCAAGGGGCAACGGACACTTCTCTTCCCACAGATAAATGTGGTGCAAAAAAAGGAATGGCAGAGAGCAGCCAGTGGCTGTGAGCAGTGTGAGCCAGCCTGGCGTACCAGCAGGTGCTGTCCCCACTGGGGTATTTTTATCGTGGAATTTGGCAGTCACAAGGCAGCCCGGAGCTGAGCAGACTCCAGGCTTGGCCTGTGGTGTGATACTCAGTTTTCCCCAGCTTTAGTAGCATTCCAGGTGATGATTAAGCTGGGTCTGTGCCAAGCTGCACTGGTCTTTGTCGCACACGCGTTTCCCGGTGCCAAGATCCCATGACTGAGCACAGCTCCGGTGTTGATCCAGCAGGAAGCTGTCAGCCAGAAGCATGGCAGGGCAGCGGCGCAGCCCACAACTGCACATGAATATGCATGGCCCTGCTGTCAAGACTCTCTTCTATCAGGTGCTGAGACCCCACAAAGATACCCAGAGGTATTTTTTGCCGAGTCAAACCAGAGCGCGACCAGATTTGCCCAACTGAGCCCAAACTACAAATATAAAAGGCTGCAGATGCTCAGACACTGAGAGGTCAAAGCATTCGAGGGCAACAGTAGTCTGGGAATGAGGAAAGAGAACTATATGGAAAATTCCCAAGAATAGTAAAGCCCTGAGGAGAAAGGCTGGGTCAGTGGCAGCTCTGCATAGCCAGGAAAAGCTGTCAGGAAGGTGACAACGATCCCTTCTTTTCTTGCTGGCAGCAGAGAGATAGATGCTTTAGAAGACCCTTGGTCTGGCACTCCAAGAATAGCTCGGCAATAACTATCAAATATCTAAGCCAAAAACACTGCTCTAGGAAGGAACATCCTTCTCTTGGTTTCCAAAACCCATTCTCCTGTGGCCACCTACTCCCTTGCAGCAGCCACCTCAGCTCTCTCTGGGGCTGTAGCAGGATGATCAGGAGGCATCTCTGGGCAGTCCCTCCTTTAGACAGTCTGTGGAGGGGAAGACAGAGGAAATGTCCCTATTGTCTAGCCTAAGCCTCATGACTGCCAGCTTTGGATCCTTCTGATTTACAGCCTCTTAAAAAATTCTGTGCGTGTGTGAGACAGGTGAATTACTGTTCTTCTCGCATTCATTAACAATTTTTATTTCTGGACTCCTCCTGCGCTTACTTTTGCTTTACTTTGTGTTCTGCACATTCTGATTTTTACAATTTGCAAGTGCCTAGGTTTAGTGGCCTTCCCTGAGGAACACAAGCCATAGTAAAACCCCAAACAACCTGCACACAGTAGAACTGATGGGAAGAGGGGCTTAGTTTGTGACTGTACATCCCTGTGGCAGGAAGGAACACTCAGACTTTGCAAAGCCATTTTTTGCTCATTTTTGTGCTAAAAACTGTGTTCATTTTTGTGCTAAACAGCGAGGCGAGACAAGAAAAGGCAGCTGCCAGCTAACGACAGCAGGAGCACTAGGGGCACCTGAAAACAACATAAATTCACCTGGATAAATGAGGGCACCCACCACTGTCCATGCTGTCTTGTAAGGAGTATTCCACACATACAGTTGTGCTACAGCATAAAGACATTGATTGGACACACCTATATATTGAACTGTAGGTAGCTGGTTGCCTTGTCTGCACTCTGGGGGGAAAAGACCAAACATACTGATTTCAGCACCACAGGCTGTAAATATTTCCCATCACTGATTTATCTGCCTGTATTGAATCCCCTGGTGCTCCTGGAGTGGAGCCATATGCTAATTTCTCCAGAATGCAGTAACTGCACTAAAGCTATTTCAGAAGGTAAGACAGACCCACTCACTCACCAGTTTTCACCAGTGCAGACAAGAGGAGCCAGAAAGACCAGCTGATTTTCTGTGTTACTGCTCCTCCAGCTCTGGGCTGGCAGCAGATGAAACATTCTTCATATGCCAAGGAGCCACCAGGATCTGCATCAGCATGATTGCAGCACGCCTGCCAGAGCAGGACAGAGCCAAAGCCCATCCTTTGCTTTCTGGTATGTCCCTTCTCCCTCCTCACACAGCCTCTGACAGCTGGTGGGGCAGCAAGTGGCCACCTCCCTGTCTCCTTACCCGGGCAACCCTCACCTTTCCACAGGGCAGCCCTCAGAAGCACCAGGAATTTAAGGATTCAACTTTTGATCTTTTGCCCCATCCATCCTTGCAGATGGACACACAGCACACGAACAAGCGGTGGCATAAATCACCGTGTGTGCTGCTACATTAAACGACATCACTCACACAACCAGAGGAGGGGATGTGGCTTCCCCAAAAAGTCTGTCTCTCTGTTCTTCAGCTTTTGCTCACAGGGAAATCTACACAGTATTGCTGCAGTAAATTTTCAGCTTTTAACAGTGTCTACTCTCCACAGACGTTCTTTGCACCATAAAAATAATTGGCTCTTAAAGGCAGGACAAGGGACAATAAAGGAGAGTTAACAATTTGGTCCTACGGCTTCGGGTTTTACCTTGACTAGAGCTTTTAATATTTCATTATGATGATTATTTTTACATTTACTTATTAAAATGCTGTTTTCCAAAAGAGTGACTGTGAGAGAACATGATCTCCAAGGTAATACTGAACATTTTATAGCACCTAGCCCTTAAAGCACAAGGGAGAGCTTTGCAGTGCCCTGGGAAGGCAAGTATGGGGAGTATAACTGGATCAAATGATTGCTCAAGCACTCCCACAGAGCCCCACAGAAGATGAATTAAACCCATTGCTACCTTTTTATGCATGAGGTTAAGTAACTTGTCCAGAAACAGTCTGTCAGAGTCAGAAACAAACCTGAAGCAGGCTGTCCTGCATCTTCACTTTGCAATCTTACTGCCAGTCCACCAAACCTTTCCTCTCATCAGACCGCCTACCAACAGCACTTCCCAGGAATTGCTGATCCTTGGGAGGCACTTCAAAGGAGGTTTTTTTTTCCTTTGTTTGTGTCAATTGAACTGTGAATTTTGCCTCGGAACTTCAGAAGAGAGGAAGGAGCGAGACCAACCATTTAGATTTTGCAGCAGTTCCCTCTCAGAGAGGCGCGAGAGGGTGGCAGAGGATTAGGTTTGCAGGATGACACAGCTCCCCAAAACATCCGAAAATTGAAAACTAAACACTTGCAGCTGGAGACACTGCAAAACCAAAGCAAAACCCATGGACAGGGGCAGGTGGGCAACAGAAAGGTTTTCTTTGCATTTCTCTCAGTGGTGGCATCGAGCTCATAGTTGAAGCTCAGAGCTGTGAGCACTTCACGTTCCAGCTGTTGGTGCAGGCATTACACAAAGGCAACATATGAAAGTGCCAAGGCACTGCTCAGCCCAAGCTGTAGGCTCCAGTCCTAACTCCCAGGGGATCAGCCCACTAAGGATTCCCCAGAGCACAGTTTGCAGACAAATGAGTGCAGCTTTAACTACGCAGCGGATGCAACATGCAGACCACAGTGAAAGGACTTTCTGAACCAAGAATACATCTGGCTCACCCTCAAGGTTTTGGCAGCCCATTTATTAGGTTGCAGCTGTGCTATGCAAAAAAAGATCACTTTTTGTCGCAGTAGCTGAATTAAAAAACAAACAAACCCAACACGTTGTTTTCAGTGGGTATGAAACAGAGTTTTCAGCAAACCAGACCTCATTCATTTCAGGTCAAATGAAAACATTTCTTGTGACACAAAACAAACCATTTCACTCCATGCATTATCAGCTGGGCAGTCCCTAACCCTCCTTAGAACCACTCTCTTCAACCCTCCTTAGAACCACTCT